CCTTTTACAGATTTAAAGGAAAAATCAATGATACTTGCCGTAGCTTCTTGCTTTTGGATTTAATTCAGGATGGAAAGAATAATACCAATTTTCGTGAAAGGCAGAAAAATAATGCAACTCCTCCACTGTATAATGTAATAAGAGCATCTAAGCTAGTAACTAGGCATTCATCTAGCAATAACTCAAAGAAGAGGTCGATTGTACTAATGACTATTATTAAAATAGTCGTTAATAGATATCGTTTGATTCACTAAAATTATCTGGGAGATGACGACTTTCATAATTAAAAAAAATTAACAGATGCAATATGGTAATCTATACCATTTCATTTAAGTAAATAAAATAGATTAGAACATTACTTAGAAATTCCATTTGATTATCAGCTTTGGGTTACCAATATAGTTCTGATGGTGTACTTAAGCTTATTATAACTGAAATGCTATTAGCGATCAATAAAACAAGAACTATCATGAGAATTTGATTATGATTTTTAGTTAATTTATTTCTGAACTCACTTTGATTAAACTTGTGCAAAAATATTACATATATTCGATAAATTTTACATAACTTCGTCGTATCCCTACCTATATATGCTGTCGTTGCCAAATATAATCTTGCTTGACAGACAAGAACGGATGATTCTAATATAAAGGCAGTTGATGCAGGAATACATAATGCAGTAAAAATCAAAAATATTAAGAAGCAAGTAATTAGATACTTTACGACAGGTGTATTTCGTTTAGTGCTTATAGTTATCCAAATTACGACCACAATTATAAAATATATAAACTCAATTAAATAACTAAAATCGAAATAGGGTCATTAAACTGTTTCTTTGCTAGTGGCAGATTGAAACATTTAGTCTCGTTATTGTTTGGATCAGCATCTAACAAACATAGAATACAATTATGTCCATTACAACTCTTAGGTATATCTGCATGATATGATTGACAAATTCGATAAAATCGACAACATGATTAATATCGATAATACAATGATTCCTTTGATTGTAAATACTGACCAGGAAGGCAGGTATTTAAACATTGTGCTTCTGGTATCTGACCCCATGATTGGTTAGCGTTCCAAATTATACTAGCTATATTAATCAATAAACCACGTCTTTGATTCTAATAGCAAATTATAACAGGTTTTGTAGCTTTATCTAATGTTTCTGTCTCTCTTTTTAAGTTAACAATATCAATTGAGGGTATGCTGGGTGTATTTTCGCAAATAGAAAAGAATGACTAGAGATTCCTTTAAATTGGATAGATTGTAATATGCCATTGAATTAATGATGATTTAATGTTAGATTTTCAAGTCTTGAACAATATATTGCATTACAGTTTGATATACGACCTAATGAATGTACTAATGCTAAAACAGCATCCATGAAAAATATTGAGTGAGCATCAATCTTGTAAAACTGATGGGAATATTGAGTTTTCCAACTGATGTCAAGTCCGTAATTTGCAATAAAGCTGACATTATTAAAAACCAATTTTTATGAATATTTGACGCCATGCTTTTGCAAACCAAATATTTCGAATGTAATTCCATAAATCGAGTTCAATTAAAAAGGTTTTGTATTTGTGAATTTCATTTGAATTAAATGCAACAGCGAGAGCTCCTTCAAGTATATCAGCGCTTATAGAATAAATTGACCGCGATATTAATCATTCTACCAAGCCAATCCATGTTTTCCATCTAAATTTTGACTTTCGGCTTGTTTCAATAATTAGTATAAATAATGTGTATTGCCAAGAAGTAAGACGATTGGTGATTGAGATTGATTTTGTAGTTTCACAATAATATATTTTATATCTGAATGTTCAGATTTATCTCGAATAAAGAATATTTGATTGGAGCATAAATGATTTTGTCGTAAAACTAACTTAGTTTAATGTATGTTATTTTTAGTAACTGTATCGCCAGCAACGACGATTGTAATCCAATTCCATTTGAAATAGTTTATTACTTCGGGCATGACATACCTATCAAAGTAGTCGGGAATTGAGGTACGATAAAGATACAGATCGCAATTGAATTTGGTACCACTAATACAACTATTGGAGATTTACGGAATTTTTAATAAATTCGTACAATTTGCAATGGAAAGGGTAGTATTTAGTGACTATGCGCCAATAATCGAAACTATGGATGGATTAATGATTAGACTTTAAATGACGAAAATACTTGAATATGTCGATGCTTTAATATCAATATAGCATTGATGATTAAATGGTATTGCGGATGATTGATACCGTTGTAAATGGTGATACCTTACGTATAACGTACCATTGGAATAAAATTAATTACTAATTACCGTACATTTTAGGCCTTATAAAGAATATATATTGTATAAGTAGCCAGATGGCTGTAAGGATTGATAATAGTAGGATGTATGTAGTATTTGTGATTCGTAATAGACTGTTAGGATAAAAATGATTAAACATCTTAACTATCGACGTACGAACATTTTCTATCTCTATGCTATCTACTTATCGTAACGGCAGTCTACTAAAAGACTGGAATCGTATTTTCCTACGGAGGTTACCAGAATGTGAGGCAACTACGGTACTTTACTTAGTAGTCGCTTTTGGTTGAGCTCATAGAGATAGCAGTTAATAATATATACGGAATGCAAAATAAACCAGACTGATTTTAAGATTCTAGCCTTTGTAGAAAGTAATAATTACCTACGATACTTTATTAAGAACAAATTTCAATTCAATAAAGGATTTCCTGTAGTAAATTAGCCCACAACACGAAATAGTAGAAGCATACTAGTGATACAAATCCAATCTGGTTGGCTGATATAACTCTGATTGGAAATTACACTAGCATTATTTTCTGCTTGATACGTAATAATACGGATCCCTACTTAAAAGTTCTTATTACGAACGTATAATATTCCGTATTATGCTATTAGAGAATCTCGCATCAAGGTAAATAAAGCAGACTAATCGAAGATATAGCTATTATCTATACGATGACTTAGATAATAGCATAACTTCATTGATCAATATTCTGATAGCACGGATTTCTTAATAGCAAGCAATGTCTGATAATATTGCTACATGCGGCCGTATATAATATCATTGATGTAAAACATAGACAAGACCTTAAATTTGCTTAAGGATATCATCATGACTTAAAGGAAAATAAGATTCATCTCGTAGTATTGGATCAATTTACACATTATTGATAATATATTTATAGCAATACCGTAAATGATGGTAATAAAAATGTTACAATATCATAAATATCGCTATCGCAACACCAGTTCGAAGAAAATAGCAGTAAAATTAACCTTATTACTGATAATAGATATTCAAATTAGGTAGATCTCCTATTAATTTTCGATGGGATAATTATAAGTTAATTATACAGTTGTTAGGATCTAGTAAGAAAAAAGAATTTATTTGAAGACACTGCAAACTACCCTTGTGACCAAGGGCTGAATTTAAGCATTATTAGCTACCTTTGTAAATTACTAATCTATCTTTTAGCGCAAAAATCAAAATTTGCATTATTTGCAAATCTATTCCTTACAATAACGGAGCTATGTTGCAGTTTTTCGAAATAACCTTAACAATTATCTCTCAAGTACTCCAGATAGTCAACATAATAATTACGAAATAATTCAAGAACTCTTTATTAATAATCAATAGACCTCGCTGAGTTATCTGTTGAAATAAGAACTAGAACTGTTAACCATAGATGCAGCCTATTTATACGATCTCATAAGTAGGAGACTGGTAAGTGATGATCGGTTCAGGGCTAGTCTAATCTCGTTTATCTAATATCAGCAGCGATTTGAGATAAATAACTTGTACTAAGAATAATCAATTGCTATTCAGATATTTCCGTTCCATTTTTAAAGATTTCCTTATTCAAAATGCAGATATTATATAGTGTATCAATTTAATCGCAGTTTGAAAGGTTGTAGTAGTACATAATTATGGCTTATAATTTCTGATAGTGAAGCCAATTATTTTGTGAACGCTAGTGTCCCATACCTAAATCTTTTATATTGCATTCTTCGTTACTTTCAATGATCGTCTTTTGTTAACTTAGACAATCTTACTGAAATTATTTGCACTTTTAAAATAAATATATCGTGAAATATTTGTTTATGAGCTAGACCCATTACTCTATTTAGGATAGATAATAATAATAAGTAATTTGAATTCTTTTTCCTATAATACATAAAGTGATCATGTATAGCTTATCTTTGACGCAAGAATTTCCAAATAATATTATAATTGAAATAGTCTAACTTAGAAAGATCACATTTATTGAACTAGTAACTGTCTAAAAATCTTAAATGATATAGCGCTTCCTATCTTCATAATTAGAATAGGCAGCTAAGACCTTGATTTTACTTAGGGATTTAATTAAGTATTTACGCCAAATCGTCCTAGTTTCAACCGTACTACTATAAGATTAATTGATACCCAGCATACAATATCAGAAATATGATAGAGATTTTACTTATTCGTAGCAGTCACTGTCTTTTGAAATATTGACAACAGCAATTGGTTCTGGGTGCACTTGTGTTGTATTCGATCTGCGTTCTAATAATGTTGTCATAGTTCCTGAGCTAGAGCTTGACGTAAAGAATCCATTAGATTTTGTAGACTTACCAGAACTATGAAAGGAATAATTAGTTATACTGGACATGATTTGTTGCCGAGTATTCAATTCTGATTTATAAAAGATAATATAGAGCTTGGGAAGAAATAAACAAAGCAATGGCGAAGAACCGATGATTAAAGTAGTTATCCCTCTTACGCTATCAGCCATACTTCCGCTTACTATAAATGTAATAGGGAAGCAACAAATTCCTAAAACCACTATTAACAGCGATGATAGATAAATATGTTTTGATTCATTGAAATTATCAGGTAATGAGCGTGCTTTAAACGCAAAGTAGAGGCTAAGTAGTCCTAAAACAGCCATCCACGTTAATAAGTTGATATCGAAATAGAAATTGTCAACATGACATAATATTTCCACTTGGTTATCATATGTGCGCTGCATTTTAATATTAATAGGTTTGGAAATAACTAAGCAAAGTAAAATTCCATTGACTACTAGTATAATAGTAAAAATAAAAGTAAATTGACTTCTATTCTTTGTTAAATGTGCCAGTTTTGCCCTCTTATTAACCGGATTGTGAAATATCGTAGAAACTTGATTTGTTTTACAAAGTATAGTTGCATAAACACCTATAACAAATGTGGTTATCATAAATATCCGTGTATAACAAATGGCTATGGTTGGCTGGGCTAGGAATAGAAAAGAAGCTGGTACACCTATTGCATGAAAAAATAGTAATAAGCTAGTAAGTTTAAAATTAGAACCTTTAACGATTGGAGTATTGCGCTTAACAATAATGACCGTCCATATGACAATTAAAAGGACAAAATATATCGTTACTATGATAAAATAAATGATTTTCATCGGTCTTCCATATCGCGCTTGGACTAATGGCAATGGTACACACTGCGTATTATTATGATTTGGATTGGTTAAATTTGGACACTGCGTGCAATAAAGAGAATTCATTTTATTCGTGATGCTATGCCCCTGACATTTCTTACAAGTCCAGCAGCAAGATAATTGACTCTGATGAATTTCTAAACCTTGATACATATGATAGCCGGGAAGGCAATCTGCGGAACATCGTGATACAGGTATTTGAGTCCAAGGCTTATTTCCATTCCAAATGATTTTGTTGTCACTAATTAATAAGCCACTTTTCCTGTCCCATGAACCAATTACAACTGCTCTTATTCTACTGTGTCCTTTTACCAATATTCTTTGCAAATTGACAATATCAAGAAGTGAATCTGTGTTTCCATCTGATCTAAAAGTAAATGCATAGCTTGATTTGCTAGCGAAATGAACACGACCTAAAATATCGTTGAAAAGCTCTCTGTCCAGGCTAGATGTTTGCGTTAGTGAGCAATGAGTATAATTACAGCCTAATAAACTATGCAAAGCATGGCCGTAAGCCAAGACTGCATCCATAACGAAGACTGCTTTAAAGCTTGGAGAATAGAATGAATTTCCCAACGATCTTTTCCATTCTCCATTTAATGTGCAATTGGCAACAGTTTTATCTACATCTAAACCTAATTCTGTTAACTTTTTCCGCCATAATTTCATAAACCACGGGTTGCCTAAATTATTGCAGAAATTGAGTTGGTGTAAATATTCGTCAAATCCTTTTATAGATTGACTATTGAAAGCAATACCAATAGCACCGCCAATAATGCGATAATCAATTTGTTGAATTTTTCTTGATGTTAGCCAAGTATAGGAACCAATAAATGTTTTACCGGTCAAATTTTGAGCTTGTGCTTCCAATAAGAAGCTGTAGATAGTAGTTTCCTTGCCAAGAAGAACGATAGCTTGAGCTCGAGACTGATATTTTAGTTTCGATACAACGTTAGCGATTGCTTCCAGAGTAGCATTGTTTCCTAGTCGATAGATTTCTTCGTAGCATATTAAATGTTTATTTTGAGCTTCACTTTTGCTAGATTGAATCATTTCGAAAGTTGATTTGTCTGTGAGAACAAAAGAAATCCAGTTCCATTTAAAATAATTGATTATATCAAATATATTTTTAATTTGAGTAGTAGAGGATATAGATGTGCGATAGAAATATGAAAACACTTTACGGTTATTTAATAATTTGTCAAAAGAAAAGTAACTAATCTGTGGTATCTTTAAGCTGCTAGTCAATGCTGCCGTAGAAATGGTAATATCTTCATTTTTTGCACCGATTAAGCCAACTATAGGTGACGAATTTGTATAAGGACTAATTCTAGATTGCGTAACATTGTTATCAGTAAACTCTAAATTACACCGCAACTGTGGGAAGTTTCGCCTCTCAGATAGTATTAAATTAGAGGCAACATTTTGTAAGGCGACAGTACGATTTTCACAGGAATCGATGATTTTCCAGCCAATTTTAATGCCTGGTAATAAATAAGGATTGTTATTGATAAACTTATCAATAGCATAAATCATAGCTTGAGTTAACTGTACATTTTCCGGGTTTAAGTTATAGCATTGTCTGGTTAAAGGATCATATCGGCCGGAATTGGGAAAAATTCCCTGCAGTAGAAATTGTCCTGATTTTGTGGCTACCATAGTTGCTGTAGTAGGCTTGAAGAGTGACAAGATTGCCAAATAGTGCAGTAACAGGCTAATGAGAATAGTAGTCATTGCACTAAAATACTGATATTTCATGGTTAAATTTCCACGGAAAAGTAAAATTATTTCGTTAAAATTGATCAATCGATCTTGTCCTTGTATTAACCTCGGTTATAAATGACACTTTAATTTGAATAGCGGAAATAAAAATTCTCTTGCAAATTAATGGTTGATTTTTTACATAACTTGCCCAATAATTAACACCTGCTCAAATAATTCAACACTTCTAATTCTAAATTGGTGTTAATGACAAAATTAATATTAAGAAAGAAAACTTCGATAGTGGTGAACAGTATTTTTATAACATTGTTATAATATAATGTGAAATAGTAACTAAACAGCTATTTAAGCTATCTTAATATTACTAAATCAATTTTTTTGACAACAACATGTTTCCTTAGCATTATGAATCTGTATTTATCATTTATCAGGACTCTTATGCTTTCTGTATAACTTCGATTAACTATCACTTGTTCAAGTGTGCTCGTGCATAGGCATACGAACTCTGAAATAATACATCAGCATCTGGTTTCAATTAGTATAGAACAATCTCACAAAAAAAAGTAGTAAGAATTTAATTAGGAACTAAGTCATCAATCTACGTGATGCCATTTCGTTATGAAATAAATTTTGAATTTACCGGCACAAACTAAAAAGAGAGAGATATTTACATCGCAAATGTTGGAATATAAAATAAAATTCAACAATCTGCAAATTTATCAAAAAATTATTGTGTAATAAGATATGCTATCCATTTGGTAATGTCAGCTGTGTCTTCTCAGTTTTAACTTTTCAATTCTATTGCCTTAACAATATCAGAATAAATAATTACTTTGATAGTAGGTACAGATAATGTTCTTGGATGGAGACGATTTTTGAATTCTTTTATTGTAAATCATAGTTTGTAAGACTGGGAAATTGAATGACAGCGCAAACTAGGCAGTTTGTATAAACTTACATGAGTGTCTTCTGATTATAAGCAAATTAGAATGACAGTACCATCTCGATAGCTTATGAAAAAAGAGCGAATATCACCTGATTATAATCAAAAGAGCTTATTGTAACAACTACACCAATGCCCATACAAGAATAATAGAACATAGAAATTCTAAGTTTCATATACTCTAATATATTCGCTTCAATGCATGCAGCTAGAAAGGGAATCCAATGCAAATAGAGCAAATTTTTTTTAGCTAAAATTCATATAAAATTATAAGAACAAAGCGTCACGTAATTAGTTTCGTGGCACGGATCTTGCAAGTGCTTACTGTATAGAATAAGGAAATAATCATTTATAAGGCCAATAAACCATGTTGCACTTTCAATTATAGCTAAATCTATTTGTTAATATAGTTAACAGAGTTAATGGTATTCTAGATTTTATTATGCTTCATTTGTCAGTAAAACGTTGAAGTACGGTATTATCCTACAATTAATAGTTATAGAACTCCAGTGAACGTTGTAGAATTGCATTTAGGATAGAAAAGATTAAGCCAATAACTTAAGTATTAGAAACTTTGCTTAAATGCGAAAATACCATTCATGATTTCTCTAAAGAATTGAATTCTCTTGAGGATCTATCAGGTTTCTATTACTATCCAAATTATTAAAGTCTCAGTCAAGAATTATAATTCGGTCTATAGCTTTGATGTTAAGAAAGGTTTGTGCTATCAGTGACCTAAACTAATTATGTATATAGAAAGTAATATAGGATATATACAAACAGTAATGGACAGAGCAGAAAATCCATTTACATGCTAGCAATTATTCCAATGACTGAATAGCCGAAAAATTATAAATACTTACTACATTTTATTATCGTATTTAGTAATATTATTTTACCTGAACTTAATGAAGCACAAATTATAACTTAACTTATCTTAGTCTGTTTTAGCGACTACGGTATCAAAGTAGCTTTTATAAAATATCCACAAATAGACATCATTTGTACAGACCTGCTAATAACGTTCTGACACCTTAAAAAGCCAATTTAATATAGCTATCTATCAAGGATCATTTTTCACATTCATTTTGAAGATATTTTCAGAAGATATAAGTCTATTTTTAAGTAGCAATTTGAATGTTGTGTATGATGTTCATGTACAGCGTAATGTAATATTCTATTAATAAAAGGCCAAATAATTTCTGTTGTTTATCTACTAGATAATGTAGTTTCATCTCAAGGTTGCAAAGTTTTATACTTATATATGCAAATTTCAATACAGCCACAAAACTGAGCTTACAAATAATGTAAATTAGATTGAATTGACTTAATGATTAAAATTGTTTTTAAAAATTGCGGAGAAAGTTTCCTAAATTTTCCTTTCTTCAATGCAGAATAAGAAGTAAGAATTCATAACATGGCATACAATTTCGATGCTCTTATCTTGAGTTCGCTGTCTCTCGATTGTAACGGGATTAATCATGATAAGGCAAAATAAAATTTCATTAACCAAGGAATCAATACATGCTATAAAAATGAACTAAGTTCCCTTTAGAATCAAAGCCGTCAGCTTGACTTGATATACCCTTAAAACGAATGTGACATAAAATAGCGTTAAATTTGTTTCTATTTAACTTATTAGTTATTAATGATGGACAATGAGTAGGATTGTAACCCAACGCTTTATGCAGTGCATGACCGAAAGCTATAACTGCATCCATAACAAATACTGCCTCATAGATGCGAGAATAAAATTTGTTACTAAATTGTGTTTTTAAAGAACTATCCAGCGTACAATTAGCCGTAATCATATCAGCATTTAAATCCAATTCTGATAATTTTTGATGCCATAATTGCATGAACCGTGGGTTATCCAAATTATTGCAAAAATTAAGTCGGTCTAAATAGTCCCGGAAGCCTTCTAATGACCTACTACTAAAAGCAATTCCAATTACAGCGCCGATAATGCGATAATCAATTTCTTGAATTCTTGGTGATGAAAGCCAGGTATAGGAACCAATGAAAGTATTACCGGTTAAATTATCAGCTTGTGTTACAAGAAAAAAGCGGTAAATAGTATTTTCATTACCTAGAAGAATTGCTTTAGAGTGAGCGTTACGTTTTAATTTTAACACAACGCCAGTAATTGCTTCCTCAGTATTATTTTAGTCAAGCTCATATATTCCTTTATCACGTAACAATCAAAGGCTCAGTACAAAGCAACAGAAATTACTATTGTGTGAATATTAGTTATCACCTCTGTAAATACATTGCTCTGCACAGAGT